CATTAGGTTGGTATCATTATCGCTACATTATTGTACTCGCACGTTACATTTGCTTTGTTTCCAGAAGGCATTTGAGAAGGTGCCTCACGAAAGGCGAATATAGAAAATTAGAGGTCATGGTGTAGGTGTTAAGTATTTGCATGAAAAGATAATTGGATGGCAGTCAAGAAACAGCATGTATAAATGCGTCTTTTTCAGGTTGGCAGGGTGTGAAAAGTGGAGACCTTCAGGGGTCGGCAGTGAGGCTCCAACATTTTTTTTTACAATTTATATCTAATGACTTAGATGAGGTGAACAAGAATATGATAGCTAAATTCACAGCTGATATAAAAGATGGCAAAATATATTGAAGGTTTAAGGTATTTGCAGATGCATATAGATAAGCTGAGTGAGTGGACAACAGTTCGGAAGATGGAGTATAACAAGGAAAAATGTGAAGTTGTTCAGTTTGGCAGGAAGAAATTTAACTAAAGGGAGTACGACTGAAATCTGAGGTGCAGAGGGATCTAGGTGGTTCAGTGCCCAAGTCAAATAAAAGTTGTATGCAGATATTGCACATAATCAAGGTGATAAATGGGGTGCTATCCTTTATTATGAGAGGCAGTGAATATAAATGTAAGAATATTATACATACAGGGCATTGATGAGATATTTCAAATACCATGTGCAATTTTGGTCTCTATTTAACAAAGGATGTAAATGCATTGGAGGAAGTTCAGAGAAGTTTACTAGATTAATACCAGGAATGAATGGTGTTTTTTTTAAAATTAAGAAACATTGCATAGCCTGGGTTTGTCTCCATTAAAATTTAGTAAAACGAAAGGTGACCTGATTGATGTGAATAAGATTCTGAATGGTCTCAACAAGATGGATGTGGAAAGGAAGTTTCCCCACGAGAGGAAACTAGGGGGCGCTGTTTTAAAATTAGGGGTTTCCTTTTTAGGACAGAGATGATTAGAATTGTTTTCTCTTAGAAGATGGTAGAAACAGGTTCATTGAATAATTTTAAGGCAGAGGTAAACAGATTCTCATTAGGCAAAGGAACCTAAAAAGGTCATCAGGGGTAGATATGAATGTAGATTTTGAAATGCTAACAGATCAGCCACGATCTTATTGCATTGCAAAGCAGGCTTGAAGGGCCAAATGGTCTATTTCTGCTCTCAATTCAAATGTTTGTTAATTTTCTATATCTTTATGGATAAATGCAATGTGTATTTCATGTTCTATAACATACCAAAGCAGTTCACAGGAGCTTTCACAAACTTGACATCAACAATATAAGGAGATGGACAGGCAGATGACCAAAACAGGATAAAAGTGGTAGATTTCAAGGATAGTTTAAAGGAGGAAAGAATTAAAGGGGTGAAGACGTTATGTGTGTTAGTATTCGAAGGAGCAATCACCAAAGAGCAATTAAAATTGATGATGTGCCAGAAATGGAGAGAAGCACATAATCTGAGGACTGAGGACTAACAATTCTGAGGAATGGTCACTGGACCCATAATGTTAGGTCTCTTTTTTCCCCTTCATAGATACTGCCAGACCTGCTGAGCTTTTCCAGCAACTTTGTTTTTGTTCATAATCCGAGGACTGAATGATGTTAGACAGAGGAAGGCCATGGAAATGAAGGGTTATGAAAACAAGAACAGAAAATCTCAGCATTTCATAAACAGGAGCTAGTATGGAGTAAGTGAATTCAATGGTGTGGGTGAATAGGAAGTTGAAAGATTTAGAAATCTGCCAACCCTATCTGGCCTGGCATACACGCAACTCCAGAAAAACAGCAATGTGCTTGAATCTTAACTCTCTGAAACGGCCTCCCAAATCACTCAGTTCACAGGCATTTAGGGATCAGCAACATAGCTGATCTGACCAGTAATACACACATTCCATGAAAGAATAATAAGAAAATTACAGTGCCTTTTCTTTATCTTACAGAGAATGGCACTGCAACAAAACTGCATTAAAAAGTGCTGGGCAATTTAATTATTCCATTCAGACAGTGTACGCATGACTAATATTAAGGGTTAATTGTTTTTAAGTGCACATTACATATCTTTTCTAGGTAACCCACTTCATCTCCAATCCTTTTCCAACAAATATTAACTGCTTCACTACCATGCAGTCTTCAAGCGAATTGGTCACCAGCTAATTAAATTTAATGACAACATCTTTAATTACCTAGCATACACTGCACAGTTTAATTTTTTTTAAAACTTGGTACTATGGCATACGGTTAGCAACCTCAGAAGATATGCTTGTATTTTCATAGGTGCGCATGCATCATAAAAATGTACATTTTAAGTTTTTAGATAAGCAGGAAAGCTATACAAGAAAACAATGCAAATAGTGTATAAATGTTATTTTAAAAAACTGCAGGTGTTGGAAATCAGAAACAAAAATAGAAATTGCTAGAAAAAGTCAGCAGGTCTGGCAATGTATGTGGAGAGAAAGCAGAGTTAACAGTGGGTTCCAGTGACCTTTCTTCAGAATGAATTGCTAGTTTTTCCAGCAATTTCTGTTTTTGTTATAATTATTTTTTCAGTATTAACTTCCTAGGACCGAATAGATTATTGTTGTCTTTCACGTCAGCTAGAAAAAGCAATCATCCCTGTATATCAGCAGATCAATGTTCGAAATAAAAACACTTCTCAAAGAGGGGCAAATGGTGATAAAAATTACTAGGATCGTAATACAAACTCCACCTTTTTCATTAACTGTTTCAGACTAAACTAGATTGATCAAAACTACAGGATGCCCATCAAACCCCAGATCCATACTGCCTACATTAAAAAACCTGCCCTTTCCAACTCCATAACATTGCTCAACTCCACCCTTAACTTGGCTGAACCACCTAAATTCTTGTCCATGTCAGTTTTCCCTAGGTTTGATCATTCCAATACTTGCCTGCCTGGTTTTGTATTTGTGAAATCAAATTCACCTGAATTCTGCTGCCCATAGATTATCGTCCATTAAGTCCTGTTCACCCCATTTCTATTGGTCTATAAAGACTTCCCCTCCTTCAATGCCCAAACCACACAATGATTCAAAATGAAAAATTTTATTTCTCTTCATGATCTTGCTCCTCCAATCCTGAAACCCAGTAGTATAACAGTTTTAGTTCTAGTCTAGTAATTTTTAGTTCATATTCTACCATGGGTAGCTGTGAATTTAATTAACCTGATAATATCCTACAGATTTGCACACTAGTTGACAAGTAACATGATTTGTATACTATGAATGGGAAGGAGGAACTTCAAATGAAATAAATCTGGAACTAACTGAATAATCATTTTAATGTCCAGACTGAATTACAGGGAAAAGGCAGGAAATGTGCACCAAATTAAAATTCACAGAAAACTGGTGCAGACAGTTGGGACAAATGGCCTCATTCTTTGCTATAACAATTCTGTGATTAGACTATTGTGGCAAATAAAATGTGTGTAGAATTCAAGAGTAGTGAATTTTGGGATTATACTGACATCTCAAGATTGTAGACAAAGTTTACTTACAGCGATGCATTTTTGTGCGATACCCAAAACTGAACAAATATTTAAGAAGGTGCAGACGATAAAGACTGATCCAATACAACAGGTGGCAACAGCAAGAAGCCCAAACACTGGAGCCCACTTTATTTCAGACATCTTAAAATATTCTCTGGTAAATACACAGCAAGTGTTGCACATTACCTCAAAATAAACCAATTAAAGAAAGACAGGAGGATATGAATTTGCATTAGCATAAAGGAACTTATGATACATCCTATAGGTCCCAACGCTCACCGAAGCGTAAACATTAGTTTGGGCCAGTTAACCTGAATGACTGGGTTCTGCCCAATAAAATCTCTTGAAACTAAAACTTAAAAACTGTTTGGGCTTTTCTATCCCTATCATTTATACATGCTGATTCAGTTATCACTTGAGTGCCAACGTCAAAAAAACAAAAAGCTTATACAATGTTTTGAAAGGTTATGATTCTATATAAAAATATAGATTGACAAATAGTTCTAGGTACCAGTAATGTCCAAATTGATTTCACAAAGACGGTCCCGCATAGTCAAAGGGAATAAAATTTTCAGAATGAACAGGAGTTATACTGAACTTGAAATGTTAACTTTTTGTCTCCACAGAAACTGCCAGACCTGCCAAATTTCTACACCATTCTGTGTTTGTTTCACATTTCTAGCATCCACAGTATTTTGCTTTTAATGAAGGTTAGAGTGATTTCTGAAACAGGCAATTTGAAAATATTTCAACTGTGCCTCACCTCAGGATTAGTGCACTGTACTTTCCTTGGAAGCTGATTTATAATGAATGAAAATTACAATCAATAGGTATTATAATGCACTAAAGTTAAAGAAAATACATGTAAGGATTATCTTGGCAATTTCTCATATTTCATAAAGTAAAGTGACATATATACATACGCTCCATTGGTACCCCTAATGTGTTAAATGAGCTGAAAAAAATGGGTATTACCTATTACTGAAGCATATGGTTTTGGGCAGAGAAAGAACAAAGCGCTATTCCTCACAAGCAACACAAATTTTACAACAGGTAAGTCATGCTTCAAGACAAAGTTTGCAAATATTTTTAAACAATAACATATACATGCATACAAAGATACTATATGTGCATTTTCAACAAACTATCCTTTGCTTCTGTCCAATTTGAAATGCAATAAAACTACAGGAATTTAATAAGTACATACAATAATACTTAAAGAACTACTTTTATCTTGTACAGTTGTTTTATTTGTCATGTCTTTTAAAAAGTCGGAAGAGAGGACGGCTGAGCAGAACAACCAGCATGTAGTTTAGGAACTGGTGACAGGCATCCAGCGCGTGTACCTTAATAGTTTACTAATGTCAATTATAGTATGGAATCTCAACAGTTCAATCTTTCATTTAGAATTCAGACAGATTCTGTGTCCAACACCAATTTTTAACAGAAAATACACTTAGCCATGTGTTTTAAATAGAGAACAGAAATGAAACTTACTGAGTGGCAAAATGTGGTTACTTCCTGCTCAAAAGCCGTAAAATCCTGCTGGCATTTCCTTGGAGTCTCCCCTCGAAGAAGTATTCACATTTTTTCCCAAAATTTTTTGCTTTGACAAGTTGAACATAAACAATGTGGTTTTCAAAAAAACTTATCATAAATTACATGTGCACAAGAAACATACAAATACCTCATCTGGCAAACCAGCCAAAATTGACAGAAACACACTGCACAGCTGCAATAAGTCGTTCTTTCCCTGTCTCAACTCATCCGAATGCTCCAGACTTTTCCCTTACTTTAAGAGAAAGCCCAAAAGATGCACTTCCTGCAATTCGATGTTTGCCTCTGCAAAGTCTGTGTCCAATTATCAATTCTAAATGACAACTTAGGGAGAGAGGGAGAGAGAGAAAAAAAAGAGGCCGCCTCAGTGGGGAACTGAACAGCCAGTTGGCTGTAGAACAAATCTATTAGGTCTTGTTGCTCTGGGCTAATGCCAGCACCTGGAGCAGACCAACCCTTTTCAACAGAACAGAATGTTATTCATTTTGGTACAAGTTCTGAAGTGTGTCATTCAACAAATCAGAAAAAGAAGTTCACACACCCATTTCACAGAAATACAGAAATAGGGAGGACAATGACCGGAACTTTACATTGATTTGGACAGATTCAACCTTTCATTAAAAGGAAACCTGGGATTTAATCAACTACTAAACTAGTTGGGAAAGTACATTTAGAAGCAATTAGAAAGTGGATTTAGGTATCATTTTTATTTATAATATACAATTCCCTTACAAAAAATTTGTAACTTGGATTGCCCATCCCTCTTCAGAAGGGCTTAGCAGCAACGAGTGCAACCGATTCCCCTCAAATCATATGGTAGATTCAACAGCACCAATGGCAATATTCTTGTAGGCTTAACAGGAGTGGTTTGAAAGTTGTGAACTAAGACGTTCATTTCTGTTGCAGTGCTTCTGCAATGCCTCAAGGTATCAACAGGTCACCAAATAAAAACTCAGCTGGCAAGCTCATTCATAAATGAAAAATGATGATTCCAATAAATATTAAATTTTCTAGCGTTAAATTTTCTAGCGTCAATCAGGCTATTTTTTCGGAAAACAAAAGGAAACTGTTCCACTTAAAAAGGTAACTCTTCATGCATTTCAACAATTCTATTGTCAGCTATCTGCAAAGCAAAATGTACCTATATTTCCTTTTTGGGTTTTATTTTGCAACAGAACATGGGCAGCACAATTAAACATGCATTAATCTTCATTTGGATGCTTCAAATTATTTCTTTTCATTGTGTAATTGAACTTCAGAAACACATTCATGGCTGCAATCTTCAGACTGGTTCACATGTTTCTCATTCACTCCATCTGGTGGTTCTGTTGAGAAACGTCAAAGCTAACCTAAACACAGCAAGAGCGTTTTCTTATCTACGTAAGTTTACTGCACATAAGGGCATTATGTTGACCATTATTGTAATGGACAGCAAGTTCAATAGAATGATTTGTACGCTATTTGCGTCTCAATAGGGAAGTTGTGGTTTTCGGAAAAGAAGGAAAATGTAAAGCAAAAATAAGCTATATAAAAATAATTCACAGCTTCAAGATAGGTTCTTATCAAACTGCTCTAAACTATGAATGAAGCTCGGTTTCTTTGGGTCGTCATAAGAAGTTGCATAAATACAAATGCAATATGTTTTCATGAATATGATCATGAGGGCACACGGCAGAATCAAACATGTACCCATAAAGCTGTCAAGTTGTGAACGTCTTTTAAGAAACAAAACCTGCCTTTCTTACCCATTCAATCCCAAGTCAACTTCCTGGATTCTCAACTGCCCCATCACACAGTTTCACTCAAAATATAACAGCTCAAGATAGCAACTTGGAACGCCTCACCAGCAACATCCATACTCAAAGAATTAGTAATTTTTAAAACCTGCACTAGAGTACCAGGGCATACTTCAGATTGCCTGTAGCTCAGTGCTCATTAACACTTGGAAAACCAAGTTAATAATACATTTTAATTTTCTCCAATTCAAGACAACATCTCCTTAAAATTATTTGATTGAGCACTTCAAAAAAAGCATTCCACAAATGTGTTATTCTGCAAGGCATCAGTTTGGGACAGCCAATAAAAGCATTAGCAGCACTATTTTCCTGGCAGCCAAGGAAGTTCATGTCATTTATTTATGTCTTTATACATAACACATGCACAAACACACACCCTAATATACAATAAGCATATCACAATTGGCTACCAGTACCATGGTAAGGAAAAGCTATTTTAAGTTATGATACCCCATCAATTATTATACAGCTTCCACAAGTAAACCAGATATGGTCAGGGCCAGTCTGTTCCTGGTTTTAAGGCGCACACAGCAATAAATGTAGAGTGGGGTAAACAAAAATGACTCGCATGCCTCATTTGTGCATTGGAATGGAATTCATGTTTTTGAAAAAAGGAAGGAATGTAGAGACAGTTTACGTAAAAAAAAAAAGCAGATTTTTTCTGAAGGAGGGTCTAGGCTCAAAACGTCAGCCTTTCTGCTCCTCTGACGCTGCTTGGCCTGCGGTGTTCATCCAGCTCTACACAGTGTTATCTCAGATATTACAAGAATCTGAATGCATTAATCTCATGCATCTGCAATACCTAAATATTGCCACCACCTACTTCAACATAAATCAAGGAAGATCTAGCACAGTTAAAATAAAACAGTCTTATTCCTTTCAGCGTTCAATCATTTGATTGCAAATATTACAACTACAAATCAGGTGTCTTTAGGGTAGTCCACGAACAAAGAAATTGGATAGTCTTGTGAATAGTCCATTTTCAGATCGAATATTGCAACTTTTTAAAAAATGCTAGCTGCAAAGCTTTAGTCTTCGACACAATGAAGGTTAGATGATTGAAAAAATATTGCAGTTATCCGAGTACAAGTGATAAGGTTAAGGTTATCAGCTAAAATGTATCTACAATACTTAAAAGTAGATTAAGGTTAACATCTATAGATGAAGGTAAGATCTTTGCATGCCAATTACATCTTCAAGTTTCGCTTTGAGCGTGAAGAGAATGAAACTCGAAAGTTGGATTCAACAGCTATGACTACTTCTGGAGCTGAACGGTTACTGTCTGCCTGTACAGATCAACATAGCGTCTGAAAGATAGGATTTACGTTCCTCCCTAGGTCTATTGTATGATACTTACAGGTTCCCTGGTCACATTTAGCAGAGTGACGTTGATTGCTATGCGTCATCCTTCTTATGTTCATTTTGCATGAGAACGCTCTCTATTATGTCTCTCAGGATTTTGAGAAGGGATTCTGTACTAAATAGGTTTCATAACCTGTTTTAAATCGGCTCTGTTCCCTCTAATTTTTTCTGTTGCTGTGCAACCCTCCTAGGTCCATGTGCTGCAACGACTTCTGGAATCAGAAGTCAATGCATCCACATGCCAATTGGTGAGCACAGCCCCTTCAAGCAACTGTGCAAGCACACATCTTGGAGGGAACATAAGTTAACACATCTGAAGCGAGAATGAAGTGTTGTTCAAGCAGGTAAAGTTAATAACATCGAAGTCATTTTGGTCTCTCATTCTTCCAAAGGCTTTAAATTCTCATACCTTTACAAGGTTATATTTTGTTAGCAGGGGTTAATTAAACTCTAAATATCTCCTTTGGTTGATGTTGAGATGACAATTGGCTTTGAAACTGCCCAATGTTACAGATGGTTGTCTGCTATGACTTCAACTTGAAAGGACTTTCAAAACTTAAATTAGAGGTTTTCTTTCCAAGTTACTAATTTTACAATAATAATAATGTTCAGAAATTTCTTTACAAATCTATAATATCAGAATTGTACGGTTGTGACAGCAAGAGATTTTAGAGTATACAATACAATGCAGGCAGGCATAAAGAATATGCTGTAGGACTCATCTGGATAAGCACTCAAATTCAAAGCCTGCCTTTTGTTTCACCCTTGAAAAGTTGTCCTTTATTATCCCACACAGCTGATGACTTAAGGCTGTGTGGTTTTCTGTCACTTAGCAGGGAGTGGCCAGTTTCACTCAGAAATAGGAGATAGCAAGAACTGCAGATGCTGGAAATCAGCGTCGATACAGTGCATAGCTGAAGGAATATAGCAGGTCAAGTAGTAGAGGAGCAGGAAAGTTGACGTTGAGTCAGGACTCTTTATTAAGCCCTGAAGGAGGGCCCTGACCAGAAATCAGGCTCTTCTGATGCTGCCTGACCTGCTGTGTTCCTCTAGCTCCACACTGTATTGATTCTTCACTCAGAAATAAACTCATTTGTATGCAACCGCAATATTCAATACACTAGCCTTAAGACAGACAAAACAATGCCAAGGGGAGAAAAACTCCCTCAGCCGAATGAAAACTTTATTTTTAAAACCGTTCAAAGCAACAAAAAACAAACAAATATTCAAAAGGAATATTCAAGAGGTATAATGATGTGACTGCAATAATAACATTACTACACAGTACAAGAGCATTCTTACTGTTAAATTATCTTGGACACAAGTATGGTTTAGAGTTATAAAGGAAAACAACGTCTTCAGTGCAATGTTTCATGATTGACTCTGGTTTCACATCAAAACCTTCAAACGTTTTATAGATTTCTAGGAAACTGCCTTTTCCATTATACTCCTTTGACTCCGTTATCTATCTTAAATCCAACTTCATTTGTTTCTCATTTCCCCTTTCTTTGACTTATCCTAACTTAGCAGATTGTTTGCCACAGCATCTCTCAGGCTTGGATCTCTCCAGAGAGAGTTTTCAATGCTTATTCCAGAAAGCTTCACCAGCTCTACGTTGCTCAGCTCTTTAGTTGGCACAATTTGGGGTCCTCTACATAGGTCTGTGAACAACCACAAATCAATGTGAGATCACAGGATAATAGGTTTTGGGACAGGATAAGGAATAACAGGAGAACATTGAAGAAGATCTTGCTGTCACTTACAATTATGTGAAAAGGAAGAAAAAGGTAACAGTAAACCTAGGCCCGGGAGTCCGAGGCTGGGGAAATTATAATAGGGAATCAGAAAGTGCCAGAACAGTTGAACAAATACTTTGCAGTCTTCACAGTAGAAGACACTAACAGCATTCCAAAAATATGTACTAAATAATAGTGACTGAGGTGAAATAAATATAATGTATATCACTAGAGAAAAAGTACTACCAAAACTAATAGGCAAGTCCCTTAGACCTGATGGGTTGTTTACTAGGATTTTAAAGGAGGTGGCTACAAGATAGAATATGCACTGGCAGCAATCTTCTGAGAATGCTTAGATTTTGGGAAAGTCCCAGAGGATTGGAAAACTGCCAATGTAACACTTATTTAAAAAGGGAGACAAACAAAATGCAGGTAACTATAGATCAGTTAGCTTAACATCTAATTGGGAAAATTTGTGTTATTATAAAGGATGTAATAACTGAACATTTAGAAACACACAACATAATTAAGCAGAGTCTGCAATGCATCATGAAGGGGAAATCATGTCTGACAGATTTATTTCTTTGAAGAGATAATTAGCAAGGTAGAGCCTACTTCTGTTCCTATGTCTTCCAGTCTCAAGAATCCAGGAGTAACATTGCTGGT